GCCTCAGCAGCAGACCATGCTTTCCTACCTGATGATGGACGCTTGTGTTGCGCCCGAAACGTCGTGATTTATTTTATACCTATGTGACTTTACCGAAAAAAAACAAAGAGTATAGATTCCTGCAGTTACGAAAGCTTCAAATCAAGATAAAATAAATCGATAAAAGTTGCAGCTCATACAGTATAACCTGACGGAAATTTCCTTTGAGTATTTTAGAATATTGTGCACGTCATAGGTGTGGTATTACATTTTGTTAATGTATCAGAGTTCGGAAAACGACGTTCTGTAGGCATTTCATATAAGTAATGCTCGTTGTGTTATTGTTCATGCTCCGGTATTTAAGTGTAGATCGATTTTGTATGATTTGGTACGAAAACATTGACAGACAAAATGGAACATACGTGGAAAAGTGTGGTGGAGAAATGCATATTATTGGTTCTTTCGGTAAAGTCACATAGATAATATATATATAAATAAAAGTAATACAATAAAATGTAAATAAAAATTAAAGCAAAAAACCTTTTCTCTCCGCCTGATGATAACCGTTTGTGTTGCGATCGAAAAGTCGATAGTTTTTTACTTTGATTATATTTTATTTTTTTCTTTAAATTTAATTTTATTATTTGTATATACATTTTCTATCTACGTGACTTTACCGAAAGAACCAAGGATATTAATTCCTGCAGTCACGAAAGTTTTAAGTCGTTTAGATTTGCACTGTGAAACATAAACCAATAAATATATTAGAAATCACATGCAACTTAGAGACATCATTATTAACTTGTGCTTAAACCAAACTAGTTTTGTGTTGAACTAGGATTCGCTTCTTAAAAAGAGATCCTTGCCTATGAATGTCTGGAAGTTCACTTGCATTGGATCAATCAAGCCTGACTCTGCTGATGAGACTCTACAGTACATGACAAAACCCATCCCGAGTTTGCTTGTATTCAACCAATGCTGCTGAAATTAAGCACTCCCATAAGCCATTGTGTTTAATGGCAAGTGTAAAACGTGTTTTTACATTTTTTTAATGTGCCGGACAATTGATATTATTAGTTACATCCGAGAAACAATGATCGCTGGTGATCGAGCCTGATCATGGAGTGGCAGTCAATGGAGGGAATACACATGAGAGGACATCCACTGCTTGCCACAAATGAACTGCTACACCTTGCTCATCTCGTAAAGGAGCATAACCCATCAAGCCAATTCCAGTCATCCTTGTGGCGGCTTTTGGCTAACCATCGACCATAGAAGGTCACCGCATCGCGCGCTTTCAGATGCGTTTCTGCGGCTGTCTGGAACGCTCTTCCTTCCGATATTAAGAAAACCACTGGAGCTATGCTCTTTCAAGTCGAGATTGAAAACGAATTTATTTAGAACTGCTTTTTGTGTTTAGTTTGTTGTCCTCCCCTACACCTTCGATTAGCCTGGTTGGCTACGTACAGTGCGAAAGAAGTTTAACATACATACACTGCGTAGATGGAGCCGTGCACTTTAATTGTGAGTCCGAGGTGGCTTGTTGATAGCTCGGGGAGTAGTCTATCAAGCAGTGGATTGACCATGGCTGCTGCTGCTGATGATGATGATCAATGGTAGCAAGAGCAACCCACGAACAACCAAGTTTAAAGTGCTGGTCATGCCTCAAAATATTGGAAATTGGATCTACACACATTGTGGGGTTTTCTCTTTGTCCAGACAGCTTAAAACTAGTACCTCGTGCCGTGTGTCAACATTTGTGTTTGGGAAACAAAGGCCGCCAGGCATGGTTCTGTCCACATCACCTCTTCATGCACTACAGTTGACGTGATACACGCTTCACTATCAGCACGTGTTCCAGCAGTCTATATGACAAAAACAATGTGTAGATTTGTCTGTGTAGGTGTTAATGGAAGTGCAATGGTTATGGCATTCTGCTATGCATCCAGCATCTCGAAGTTAAGACCATGGCAACGGCTTGCATCGGTGGAAGATTCAGTCATAAGATATCCTGGGGCTTTCCCCTAGGTTGACTCAGCCTGAAATTAGTACCTGGTATAATGTTTGAATATCAGCACGGGGGGGGGGGGGGGAGCAAAAGGAGACTGCGCGTAGTGCTGGCCACACCATCAGCACTCATGCGTCAGTCCATATAAGTGCTCCCTAATAGCACTTAGGCCAGCAATCTGTACGAATATATGGGGGATATGTATATATATATAAAAATATCAGTCTTATCGTGAGGCTGGCCTCTTCCACTGAAACGTGGAATTTCCAATAATGCCTTCAAGGCATATGGGTATTTTCCCACGCTCGTATGAGCATAGAGATACATTGAACTGACTTGTTTTATATACAGTACATATCACTTTTCTTAAGACCTCTCTTAGTTTATCTCACGTGTCTATCCCCAGGCGTGTTCTGACATCAGCACCATCAGGCGTGACTGCTTGACTGTAACCAGGCATGTGTGCCATACCTAGAAACCTGAGTACCTGTGGTCGAGTTATAAGGGCCGCAGTTGTAAACAGGAATTGAGATAGCTGGCAACAACCACCACCTTTAAAACCGCTTGAGATATGTGTCACAGCACGCCAACACTGTCTCGCGTCTGAGCCGGTGTTTTGAGTTTTAAAGGTCTGGTGTAAAGAGTAGAACGTCTTTGAACTTGTCCCAGCTATTGATCGTACGTATGTGCGCCATTTTTTGCGAACATTTCGGGGTGCCGCTCTCATATTACAAAGGGCTCGAGCAAAAAAAATTGGACAACACAACACCGTTCGTGCCCATGTTTGGCACCGTAGTGGGATAACAACATCCGCGACAAACGCCGAATGTTTAAAAGTACAATCTAAGTGCGCTCCCTGGGCTGTACTGGGCAGACTTCCATGAACATAAAGGTACAAAACATCGTGGTGCTGTGTACATCATGATTGAGCCAAAAATGCACGATGGGAACGTGTTCATTAAAATGCACACGACAAAAGTAGAGATTTCCCCGTTCAAACTCGCAGCCTGTAAAGTGCCGTTCACGATCACCCGCTCGGGCTGGTACAAAGTGGCGGTGTGTCCAAGGGTCTCGACGCCCGTCTGCATTTGTCTCCCCATTGCTGGGTTAGGGGTGGCACACGGCTGTAGTCCAGCTCTGCGGAGGCGAGCTGTTGATGGATTTGCACAGATGCCAGGAGTGTACGGGACAATCAAGTGTTGAGCAATTTCCGTCCGTTCCGTGTGTGTGTGTGTGTTGATGGAGCGTTGCCCACCTTCACATGCATGGCTTCTCTTCGGGCGTAACCACTCGGGCGATAAAGAAATGAGAAGAGCCACTTATTATTTAAAGTTTACAAAATAATGAACCCTATTAACGACTTCCACAATGAGGGACGCTTGCCTTCGCTCTTGTCTTCCTGCTTGTATCTTCCCACTCCTCGTGCTCTCCCCTTAGGGGCCGTCCATAAATGACGTCACGCACCTGGGGGGGGGGGGGGGTCAGACATTTGTGACGATGTGTGACGAGGGGGGGGGGGTGAGAAATGTGACGTCACATCAAAATGCGCAACTTTAAATAAATATAGACAACACGATCTACTTAATTAAATATACTTTTTAGCAATGTTTTATCCTACAACATCAGAGTGCAGCGCCACATTAAATACGCACTAAAATGACAATAGTTTAATGCGATTTGAAGCATGTTTTTTTTGGGGGGGCAGAGCTTTGTGACGTCATATTTGAGGGGGGGGGTCTGACTTTTTGTGACGCCGTGTGACGAAGGGGGGGGGTCAAAAAAAGTCTAAAATCGCGTGACGTCATTTATGGACGCCGCTTATATCTCCCTCAGCCCCCTTTCTCGAACCTTCTCGTCCTTGTTTTTACCTCTCGCCAATCCCCGTCCATTTCCCTTTACCCGATCCTTTCTGTTTTCCCGTTGCAACCCTTATCCTCCAATCCCCTTCAAGCCTGCCCTCCCGACCAATCACCGCGGAGGCCTTTTTCCTCCAATCGGAGGCCGTTGTTTATTTTTAAATAGCCGTCAGGCGCAATGAGTCTTGGGGCACATTTTCGGTCATTATACGGGTGCACTGGTTTTCTCCCACATGCGTGAACAGCTCAATGGGTGTCTCAAATCCATCCCTGTGTTGCAGATTGTGTTGCATTGTGAGATTCAGTCTGCGTGAATGTTTGCGATGTTGAAGCCACTGATGATTATTTATTATGCCGTGTTTACACACTGCACCAGGTATTCATTTAAGGCTGAGTCAACAATGATGTGCACGGCCAGCAATCAAACCCATGCCATTAGGGTTGCAGCACTCTGCAACAGCAGCTACTGTTTGCTGCTAAGCGGCGTTGACATCACCACGCCCGTGCTAGGTGCACTTTAATGCCAACTATTGCACAAAGACAAATATCCCCCGACAGCGTTAACAGAGTGTTGAGGTGTGCGTTGTTCGGGAGCACCTATGAAGGCCGGCACTACACTCGAGAGAGTGGGTGGTCAGCACCATGCCCGGCTACCTTTGTCTTCCCGGTGGCAATGTTTATACATCGCACGAGGTACTCATTTGAGGCTGAGTTCACCTAGCATAGACCCACAACTGGCTGAGATAATCGTCACCGGTGTTGGCCGTGATCAGGAATCGAACTGGGGTGACCAGGTTCATAACGCAGTGAGCAAAACCACGGCACTGCTGCACTTTGAGGCCAAATAATACACGCACACACACACATACATACACACAGCGCACATGCACACCTGTAATGAGGCTTTGCAGGCTATTTATACTTACGCATGTGTGAAGCACATGCACTGTAGACTCACGCACAAGTCTATTGTGATTACCACTGAACGAGACAGCAACTGGGACATCTCAAGTATTTGCATATCTTGACCAGCGTACAGGAATTGCATTCTATAAAATAAAAAAAACTGCACAATGAGCCCCATTCTGCCCTCGCAAAAAAACCTGTGGCTTAAACCCAGAATATCTCACTGTTAAATAAATACGCACTTGACCTTGCCATAGGAATGAGTCACAGTCTCAGTGCCCTCTTCTGCGGGTGCATTTTCTCATCAAGCTTGCCTGTGGAGGATATCACTCAATGACATTAGGATGCAATTTAGTCCCGCATGCTACTTGCGCTATCCACATCCTAAATGAGAGCTGGATTTGCCACACTATTGCACATCATAAAATTAACAGGGCAACAATTATGCAGATTTTCTCATCTTTTACTTTCTCCCCATAGGAAAACACTAAAAACGACAGTTCAAACATATATAACTTGGATTTCAGCAAAATGTTATCGACTGTGTTGACCTAGACTATAAATTCCACTTTTAAAACACACACAAAAGTATGCTTTCATTGCACCTGCATGCATACAAATGCTTGTGTGTTTAAGCACAGATTGAAAATACGTCAGCACTGCTGTAAGTAATAACATTGCCTTGCACTGAAAATGGATTATAAAATAAATGTGGCATTTAATTATATTTCATTGCACAGGAAAAGCCTCACTGCATCTCAATATTGTTTTACGGGAGGTGTTTGCATTGCAACGTATGGGAAGCCCGGTCAACGAGTGTTTGGTTTGTAGGAGGAAACCGGAGTGCCTGGAGAAAACCCCACACAGTCGAGAGGATAACACTCAAATCTCTTCATGGGTTTATTCAATCAGCAGACACAGTACAGTCCATCGAATTATCTGTGGACTGAACCCATCCGTGAACTGCCTGGCCAGCCTGCACCCCTGCGTGAATAACCCCTGAAATGCACCGTTGGTCATCCATGCAAACAATAACCCGGCTCACACCATGCTTGACCTCCAAGATCTTACAAGACTTGGCTAGTTTCTCGAGAAGACTACCATTGCTTATGTTATCGTCGTTAAATAATATAAAAATAATTGATAAAATCAATAGTTTAACTTTTTTTCTAACCTGTAGACGGCCCACTGAAAATATCCACTTTTGGAGATGCAAGCATGCACAAAGACAAACATCCCCCATTTAGCCTCAACAGGATGTTGTGCCAAGTGCTGTTAGCGAACACACACGATGGGGTGATGTGACTAGCGCATTGCCTGACCGCCTTTGTCTCCACAGTGCCAATGTTTTCAGACTGCACCGTGTACTTATTCAAGACCGAGTCGACCGAAGGGAAACCTGGGATGGGTTCAGATATTCACGAGCGCTGTTAGCCATGAGCTGAAATCAAACTCGGATCTCCGGATTTGTAACAGTGCACTAACCCACAACCCTACCGCTTGCCACAAACTGCACATTTACATAAAGACAACGACAAACACGGCGAACCACAGGCACAACTGTTACACAAACACACACAGACGCACACGCGTGTGCAATAATATACACTCGCACATTCTTTCACCCGCTTCCCGTGCTATTGGAGCCCCTGCTGGTTGACCTGCTATCCATTTGCTTCTCTGGGGTCTTAAGTTCAATTCCCACTTGGGCACACATTATTGCAACTCATTGTGACTTTAAGTGCCTTTTGAAGCCAAGGCACGAGTAGCCAACATGGGCTGTTCGCACGGTTATCTGATATGGGTTTTCCAAGCCACCCATGGCAGGCTCTGCCGGGAGCTGTAATTGAACGCTGGCTGTTTGACAGAGCATTTGCATTAATTATATCAGCTGTACCCACCAGTGAGAGAGGGGAGTTAGAGCGTTGGCAATCTTCTTGAAGGTCGACGTTAATTTGACTTCGGAAGTCTCCCTCTGACTTTGTGGAACGTTGTACGACTGCAAAGCGCAAAGGATTGGCCACATAGATGGGACATGTGCCACATCTGAAGCACCTTAACTCAGCTCGGCAATTGTTATCAGAGAAAAATGAATTAATTAACTCTCACTCAGATTTGGCTGTAGCTTTTGTTATACCGTAGATGTTGCAGTGGCGTAGTGGTTTACTATGTCTAACGGAGCAGGGCTTTGCCTATGAACTTCTGACGGTCCACCAACATTGGTTTGGGCGTGCCTGACTGCTGATGATATTGCTGGCTGTCGCGACTGGATCAGAGTTTTACTTGTGTTGAACCAATGCTGCTCAAATTAAGCACTCTCATAAGGCCACGTGGCTGATGGTATGTGTAAGATATGTTTATAATATATATGTGGAGGGACAGAAATTCGAGGGAGAAGTATTTGTCTGCTTATATATTTAATTTTGTTAGTTATATTTTAGTTATATTAGTTGGTTATATTTTACGTACACGTACATATATTTTAGTTAGTACATATATTTTACATATATTTAATAAATACAAGTATTTTTTGTAATATTTTAGTTGCAATTGGTTATATTTTTGTTGAGTTATATTGTGTTACTTTTACGTGATGTCTTACCTTTCCCCCCACCCCCCCCCCCACTTACCGACAGCGTCCACGGGAACTGAAAATACTTCAGAGAGCTACACAGCACAACCACGACAATGTACGAGAAGAGTATTCAGACCTGTGAGTATGGATTTGTTAACATTGTATCCTCGTGAACATAGGTTTCCTCCACGTACTGCGGATTGTTGTCACCTATCACGTTAACAAAATTGGTCACGTCCGGACATTGTGGGGGGGGGGGGGGGGGTGGTTAGATCACGTAAATATATAAATGTGCCGTTAAAACCCGCCACCACCCGACACAGCTAACTAGTAAGTGTTGTAACGTAAACAGAACGTGGCCAATTATTCACTAGTACAGCACACCGGTGTGTCGGAGACCAAGCCACAATATTTACAATCTGAGTACGACGTTTCGCCAGTAATTACAACTAGCTTCATCAGGCGACAGCCAGATTTGTGGAGAAGTCATCCACCTGTTTCCTTCCTTACATCGAGGCGTAGATGTGGTGACCACGCTTCTGCGCTCTTGCACAAAGTATGGGTGTGTGTGTGTGCTAGTGACGAATTGGCATGGTCTGTTTACATGACAACTCTTTCCTGCTGGCTGTGTCGGGTGGTGGCGGGTTTTAACGACACGTTCATATATTTACGCGATCTAACCCCAAAAAAACCCCTCTATTATGGATGATATTGGTCGCCAAAGCCTACGTGTTAAGCGATTCACCAGACTCACTTGAGGCTATCCAGGGAAAGTAAAGGATCACTGTTGTTTTGCATTGTCGAAATGAACGCACTTGCGATAGGCGCCGCTGTGAGTGGTTTGTGCGATTCTGCATCGAAGGAAACGTGCAGAGGAGGGATGGCAGTGATGCACGGCCTAAACAGGCGAAAGCAGTGCAAAGATAAGTAATGGAGACATTAGGAGGCAATTAGGGGTAAAAGCTATTTCAGATAAGGCTCTCTAGACTAGACTGCCGCGCGTTGTTGCCGGAGCAAGTGGGGTGCATACGTAATGAGGCTCTCGCAGGAAACGGTGCCCAGCGTCACAATGTATATTCAACAATCTGGTGCGTGTTGGCGCAGCACGTGCGTGACCAGATGTGCAGGCGTGTGAACCGCGGAGCGGTGGCGTAGTAATAAGGAGCCATTAATAAAAATAATAATATCTGAATGATTTCGGACATTTGGTATTCGCGCCGTTCACACAGTGCAAGGATATTACGATGGTGCTAAGTCCCACAGAGTCTGCAGTAGTTTCACCCAATAGGCGAGTGGGAGGGGGGGGGGGGCAATGATTGCCATGTGTAATCCCAATCGATTGATTTTTCAGGGTTATTTTCTGCATTTTCCAAAAAAATGTGGGTCGTGACGCTCGCACGCAAGGGCTTACTCGTTTGGCATGACGTCAGAGAATCGTCCGCATCCGCGTATTGCACGGTCGCATTATATGGGTACATTATACGGTTGTATTGTGCCGTCAAATTATTTGGCTGATACGCCCGCAGTAATAGCCAGGGCAGCCTGCCGGATTCGAACCACGAAGCTCTGCAACACGCTGGGCCACTGTACGGTGGCGAGAGTATTGTGCGATGAACGAGGGTGACTTGCGTTTGAATCCCAGACATGGATAACTTAATGTGTGTGAAGTGCTCTATGTAGGGTGCTAAATAAATAAATAAAACACTTACCATGGTTAATCTTATTCAACGGTTTTACTTGCTTGACTCCTATGTTTGTCGAGGTCAAATCTTCTAATCAAAGGTTAGTCTCCTTCCCGTTGTACAATCAATTTCAAATCTTGCACACATACCCAGATCCGGTGACAATGCATGCCTGTGTGAAAATCGGCATCAATTCATCGATTAATTCGCGACTTTAAAGCAATTTACATTTTGTATGGATGATTGCCATGTGTAATCCCAATCGATTGATTTTTCAGGGTTATTTTCTGCATTTTCCAAAAAAATGTGGGTCGTGACGCTCGCACGCAAGGGCTTACTCGTTTGGCATGACGTCAGAGAATCGTCCGCATCCGCGTATTGCACGGTCGCATTATATGGGTACATTATACGGTTGTATTGTGCCGTCAAATTATTTGGCTGATACGCCCGCAGTAATAGCCAGGGCAGCCTGCCGGATTCGAACCACGAAGCTCTGCAACACGCTGGGCCACTGTACGGTGGCGAGAGTATTGTGCGATGAACGAGGGTGACTTGCGTTTGAATCCCAGACATGGATAACTTAATGTGTGTGAAGTGCTCTATGTAGGGTGCTAAATAAATAAATAAAACACTTACCATGGTTAATCTTATTCAACGGTTTTACTTGCTTGACTCCTATGTTTGTCGAGGTCAAATCTTCTAATCAAAGGTTAGTCTCCTTCCCGTTGTACAATCAATTTCAAATCTTGCACACATACCCAGATCCGGTGACAATGCATGCCTGTGTGAAAATCGGCATCAATTCATCGATTAATTCGCGACTTTAAAGCAATTTACATTTTGTATGGACGCCTTATTATTTTTATATATATATGTGTACGTCAAAAACGCCACTCTCGTATCGCCTGCTCCGTGTGAACAAGTTACGTAAGTAATACATTAATTAAAGTAAGCGTTGATGTAGAAGCAGGCGCCGCATCATTGACGTACTTATAGACCGTGAGTTAAACGAAGTTGTTATTAAAACCGTTGTTTAAAAAAAAAAAAAACTTTTTTTAAGGAGTTTGTAATTCATCATAAGTCTCTCCAGAGCTTAACTCGGCCTCGTGCAGCTTGTGCACATTTTCAAACAAGACTCCGTGTGGTGGTAGCTATACTGCCTCCTCATGGTCCGTGTCGATCTTAACCATAATGTTGCACGCCCTTGTTAATTCAAGGGTGGATGAAGGCCCCCCCACCCCCATATCATTTGGTCACAAGGGTTGCTGTGACCGTAATTCACCACACTGGTTAGATTTGGTTGGTGGGGTGAGAGTGGGAGGGAGGGAGGTCAGGTCCAGGACCGGTTCAGATATCACTCACCGCTGTTGTGAGTCATGGCCAGGAATCAAACGCGAGGTTATCGAGCGGTAAACGAACAACCGTTCCGCTGTCAGTATCAATAGGCGCTCACTAACAGCACTTGAGGCGCGGAGGCAGAAGGGTCGTTAGCACCGCACCATAATGTCAACAGAGTTCAACTTTCAGACGCAGTCAACATCAGCAGCCAATGTTATCCGAACCAGCCTGGGTTGCCACCTTCACCAATCCGCACTGATCAGCGTGGTGACGCGTGATCAAAACAACCCTCGTGACCGTGGGGAAAGCCTTAATTCGGCAGTGGATTCACGAAATGATCGTAACTCACCACTGCTACGAACAAACGCTTGTGCTCACAGTCCGTGGACTTAAATGGGAGGTGTGCATTTGCCCTTGCGCGGTGTGGCGTACTGCAGCGTCCACTTAAATATTCACTTCGTCTGGTATTGATAAATCCATTCTCTGGATCACAGCAGCGGCCTCACTGCACGCCACGAATACAAACCAAGGCAAGAGATGGAGGCAAGTCTGGAATGTGGCCGTCATCAAGAATACACTTCCCACGCCCCCAATGGTCGATCATCAACCGAATCAGAACCAGAGGGGGGGCATGGCCGATGCAGCCACCTGATGCCACAAATGGGGCATCAAAAATTCGGCGGCCTGCGAGTGGCGCGGCCACGAATCCCGAACGATCGACGGCCGCATCGTAAACAGCTGCTGTCTGCACTCCTTCAGAGGAGGAACGGACGCGGTCCACCCTGGGTCTGAACAGACAATTGAGTGGATAACGACATCTAAAATTGCATCTTTAATGTGCTGCTATGAATCCCTGCAAAAGAAGAAGAATGCTTTATCTTAGGTTTTAAATTTGCCATATTCCAATTACTGAGCACATTTTTGAGGCGCACGAGGATTAATTTCATTAAAAAAAACAATTCTACTAACTATTTAAAGCATAATTACAACGACTCACGTAAATATGTACGTAAATATAGGACAGGTACTTTATAGGACTACTGTTTTTCATGCACTGCTGTCTCAGATAACATATCTGAGAGACCATATCCGTGAATAAATAATCTAATAATTATGGACTTACCCATTGTAAATAATATTAACAAAATAATCATCACCACCACTTTGTTATATTCATACTCGATGAATGCAGTCAACGTCCCTCTCGTGCAATGCAGCTGTAATGCATCTTAGTAGTCTGTTATTGAACGATTTTTTAAAATTTATTTTACCAGGTGAGGCCTACTGAGGTACATAGCTTTTATTCAGACGTGACCTGGCCACATACGATAGCCCAATTAAGTTGTTTATCGCGTGGAAATTTATAGCAGCCAAATAGTCTCGACGAATATTTCTAAATGTGGAGCGAAAAACCGGAGGGTCCCGGAGAAAAATCCACGCGACCACGGCGAGATTGAGCGAGCCCACTTGCTCCTTAGATTACAGACGGTTCAACACAATTCATCCCCTGAAGAAGCTCCCAACACGTGGCGCGAAACGTTGGACACCGTGCTGAAAAATGCGCGGCACGACCTGAAAATCACATTGGAGAGTCACACGGCACAACCGCGATAACACGTGCATAAGTATAAAGCCATCCAATCACACTGTGCAGTATCGGGGATTATTAGGTTTAATAAGAGTTTGCCTGCCCAAATGGAGTCGCGTTGATTGGAAACGATTAGGAAATATTATTAATATCCTTGCGCCAGTTTGCTCGTCTGTTTGGATAATGAAATGTCACTGCACAAAGTGACTTTGGATGGGGATGTCGCCTTCAAATGTACTTGACGACCCATTGATACTTCATCAGCAGTTAAAATAGTTTAAACAGTTTCTTTTATTTGAAATCACAGTTGCCGGGCCAATAATGCAAAAGTGCGAGCTGAAACTTAGCTCAGAGTCCACACAGAGCTTCAACCCTCCTAGGTCGATACATAAGTACAATGTGGCAGGGGTCATCCTGTGAGGTTAGAAGAGCACTCCGATCACAAGGTTTGCGAGTTAAAATCCTGGTTTGAGGACCAACTTGGCACGTAATACCTCCGGGGTCATTGCCTAACTGCCACCTTGTGGCAAGATAACAGTGGTTGTCCTATTGGAAAAAAAAAAACGCATATGGCTGAGAGCCACCGACGGATATTCGCTACGCCCCATTCCTCAATTGACAAGGGACGCATCGACTGAAACTTGAAGCGCAGCACATCGTTGATTCTCAAACTTATCAGGGTCACATATCCTCGTCCCCCCTTTCATCCAATAATTTGGATCTATAAAATGCAATGAGGCACAAAAAAGCTAGAGGTGAACTAAAGAAGTGTGGCCAAAGCACCACAATTTTTTCCAGTGACAAGAAAGCGTTTTTAGCGCAAAAAAAGCGAATTCTACGATAGTTTAAAACACGTTTTTGTTTGAGTACAACATTGGTTTGAACTCGGTGTACATTAGTCGTCATTGCTTTGTTTATCTGCATCATTTAATACGGATGCCACATCTAATGAAATGTAAAAATGCTTTCAAACTGCACAACAGGCTTTCTGGACAATTATCTCAAAGTAGACATGACTGGCCCAGCACTGTAACAATTTATTGCACGGGTTTTGAAACACACTTGAGACTAAATTATGTGGCAAGTTCAAATGCACCATTAAACTCGGTAATTTTTAAAAAAAAAATATGTATGTGAAGAATGGCTGGTTATTAGTTTACTTCTGAGAGAACTACAAAAAAAAAACGACGGATTGTTTCATTTTGTATACGATTCCCACAATGATAAAGTCCGTGTAAATATATACTGCTATTCTATTCTCTTTTGATAGATAACAACAACCCATTTTCTCAGTTATATGTTCGCTATGTCCAAGATCAGAACATGGCCTCCGACAGAAGAGGGCACCCCAAGGGTCGATGGCGAGGAATGATGGCAGCGGCAGCCAAGGAGCCGAACGCGTCCGAGAGGACGTCCACCGTGCAGATTGAGCGATCAAATCAGCTCGCGTACAGGTGCTCGGCGGATTATTAGGTCACCACAGGGTCGCGGTGGTGGCTTTCGTCTAGCAGTGCATTGACCTCGTCTGTGGGTAAATTGTGGTGATGTCGAATGCCACAAACGACTGTAAAGAGATCGGCCTCACCCGATGCTCATGAGAGCAGAGGAACACTTTGACTTGGAGGAAATCCTTCAACATTATTTCCAGGATGATCCTTCGATGCATTGTTTGGCCAATTCCTGATTGAGTGCTCTGGTCACACTCTGCAGAAAAATCGATCCAACCGAGTAGCACTGTGGTCCGAGCACTTGACTCACGGTCAGAAGTTTTGAAAGCTTAAATCCAGGCCTGGGCTCTGCTCGGCCAATTACCTCCCCATCGTCGATACGACGAATGCCACTGTGTGGGAAACCAACGGCGGCGATCGTATTGAGTGATCGGTTGCTGCCACAGCGACGTTGAATTTACACCATCAATTCAAGACCGTCAACCAATTGTGAAACCACCAACCCAATGCCTGCAACAGAGACGGCCATATTCTGCAAATCAAGCAGATCAAGGGGCCCAGGATCCATGAACAAACTATGGGTGCATTAAATATCATCTCAAATTCCAATCCTAATAAGCATAACAAGTACTCTACACAGATCTACACAGATCTTTTGCTGTGACTATTCCACCTGAAGACGGAGGCCTCTGTTGCCTCCGAAACGTCGCGATTTTCTTTTTGTGTTGTTTTATTTTGTTTTATTCTATCTACGTGACTTGACCGAATAAAACCAAGAGTATGAATCCTCGCAGTCACGAAAGCTTCAAATCTAGAATTAAGTCACTTAACACAAAAAAGCCCATTAGTTCCTTTCATCTACGTCTTGTCTAAATCTATCTCCTTTCATATCACGACATTTTTTTCCTATATTTTTCTAATCACACTACAGCAATATATCGTATCTCCTATATTGCTTTTATCATCTCACTGGGATTTTATGAATTCACATGAGAACCCTCCACAAACAAAAACAATAGATATATTCTGTTCAGGGGGCATCCTGCTGGGCTTGCATAACCACGATCAACACCGCATCAACAAGCATTTAATTTATTAATCACACTGAAATGTAAGGATAATGGCCAGGACAGAGAAACTATGTTTCTTACCTTGGACAGCAGCACACAGCTTGAAGTGTTATTGGCAGACAGCAGGCACGCAATTTTACACATAATTGGGCGGGCTCGCTTGCATAATTGAGTGGCTTGGGTTACCGAAATGACTCTGCCCTGGAAAACGCAAACACAGGTAGATGCTGACGATCAAGCTGTCCACCCTGACTGTGTGCAGATGCTCATTAGAAGGAAATTGAAGAGAGGTGAAACTTGAGCAAGGGATACTTGAACCCGACAACCCTGGGATGCCGATAGGCATGCAAGCAACTGCAAGCTTCCAACGCCATCAAACAGGCACGGTCAAACTAGAGCCCTTTTTTCGTTTTTAGTTACGTTAGTGAAGCTGAACATTGAGCAGATATCCAAACATCCTCAAAGGTACTTTTGGACATTGTCAAAAATATTTGTTTTCTATTCGGTGATTGATGGCATATTCACTAAAACATTTCTTTTTTACGAGTTAAACAGGAGCCTCTTAAGGGGTAAAGGTGCAACCCTGCAATTCCATGCTCATGTCACTGCTGGTGGAATGTACTCCACCAGATCAAGCTCTCGACAGCTCCCCAGAACTCTTCCACCGAGGCCAGATATCTTGGCAGAATGCAAATACCGACACTTTACCCCACCTCACTCGACCAACTTATTGTGATTTACCCATTAATACTGCAGGTTAGACAAAGTGTTTGGGGGGGGGGGGGGGGTGTTTACAAATGCCCTGGATCTCTGGAGGACAGACCAGGTTCTAGTGAGAACATCATCCAATTGCGTGCATCGAGTGCTGGGGATGCGTTTGATATGAGAGCGAGCGACCGCGCGCGCAGGGGCAGGAATCTGCTGTCTCACAACTTAGTTCCTCCGCTCGCTGCCCCCAGAACCCTGGAGCAAATGCGCAACCTGAAGCACACAACAAGGATAACGGCTGCCTCGCACGGAACCGTAGCGAGCACTTGGAGCGGCGAAGAGGCTCGCCGGAGCTGATTTTGATGAATGGCCGTCTTGCCCTTTGCTATGCCTCGAGATTGCGATTGAGTCCAGAAAGCAGAGTTCGTGTTATATAGCGATTGCATTGATCACTTACTGCAATGCATGCAGGAGCGGATCTAAACGCTTCGCAAGGGGATGGGAGGGGGTTGCGGGTCCAGGATTTATACGCTTTAAAATTGAGCCTTTTAATAATAAATACAAAACTCAATCAGTGTATTTTCTGTGGAAGCAAAGATCATGCATACAACATGTAAAATTATGATCATCATCAATGACTCGCGAATCAGTAAAATATTTAATGGTGATGTGCTCCTTGGGGTTTAATACCCTGGATTATTTTTAAACAGAGGGCAAACACAATGTTCTGCCGTAAAAAGAACATTGTTAGAGCAATATAACCATACGTTTTTAATTCCCTACTTTTTTATCCGATCTAAAAGCTATGTATTCTCATCAAAAGTACACTTCTCACAAATAATGCGATGATTGCCCCTATCCATTACAAAAGTTTAAAGATTGTCTGCGAATGAAGCTGTTGAGTGCACTACGCTGTGCAACCAGCGACCTGGGTTTGATCCCCAGCTCCCGTGGCCAACGTCAATGGGATACGTGGAGCAGTCCTAGGTGCCCTCTTCTTCACACCTGTGCATTGGCCAGTGCGGTGAAGTATGGTCAAACTCCCCTCCCCTCCCCCCCCCAGACGAATCAATACGGCCTGGCCTGGAGGGGTCCTCATATAGCAGTGGATTGACAAACGGCTGTGATACTAATTATTCAAGAATTAGTATTTGCTAACAACACACAGAGCAAGATGTGAAGGTGAACGAAATTGGCTTGTTCAAACGACACTTAATTATAAAAATTAGTAGGTTTCAAGCATGCGATTTCTTCACATACTCCTTAGTCATTAAAGAGTTGCTTTGTGCGCAAATTAAATTAATTAACATCCTTGGTCTACGGAGAATTTCAAACAAGCACACCCTTGCCTCTCTATAAAATGATTAAATGTTGTCTAATTAACATTTTACATACATGAATTACAGCTATATAATTACACATATTTATTAAGCAAGCTATCGCAGAGGCTAAATGTGGGTTGTGAATGAGATTAAATACATCTTGATGCTATTACCATTCGTAACGATGATCAACAATAACAGTAAAATATATTCCAACTGCGCTAGTTTGTCATGTCATCTCCACATATATAAAAGGCAGAGTTGTGATTATGTGTGGCTGTTCCAAATGTTTAGCGTACTTCCCGACATGCAACTAACTTGAAATTTGCCATGTGGGAACTTTCCAGACTGTACACCATGCAAAAATTATAAAAATACACTTTTGTGTTTTTTTTTGGGGGGGGAGCTCAATAATGCATTTATTTTTTGCACGGCAAGTGAGCTGTGACGTCAAATCTGTCATGTGACCCGCGCATTTGGAAGCGTAACGCATTGTAGTGTAGTGGTTAGCACGCCGCGCTACGAACCTGGCAACCGGAGTTCGATTCCCGCTCACGGCCACCACTGGTGACGATTATTTTAACCGGTCCTGGGCCTCCCCTAGGTCGACTCAGCCTCAAACGAGTAACTGGTGTGGTGTGTGAACATCGCCACTGGGGAGACAAAGGCGGCCGGCGTGGTGAATTCAAGTCCCGGGCGAAACCGGGTAGTAAAGCTAGTCAACAATAAATGCTCTTCTGGAAACCCTTCGGTGAGCAGAGTCTCACATCACGTTAGAGCTTCTAACGCTGCCCGTTGTAACATATGGAGGCGTCACTTTCACAATATTCAATCTCATTTTAATATTTTGGCTTTTAATGAGGGAAATAAGTATTTGACCCCTCTGCAAAACATGACTTAGTACTTGGTGGCAAAACCCTTGTTGGCAATCACAGAGGTCAGACGTTTCTTGTAGTTGGCCACCAAGTTTGCACACATCTCAGGAGGGATTTTGTCCCACTCCTCTTTGCAGATCTTCCCCAAGTCATTAAGGTTTCGAGACTGACGTTTAGCAACTCGAACCTTCAGCTCCTTCCACAGATTTTCCATGGGGATAAGGTCTGGAGACTGGCTAGACCACTCCAGGACCATAATGTGCTTCTTCTTGAGCCACTCCTTTGTTGCCTTGGCCGTGTGTTTTGGGTCATTGTCATGCTGGAATACCCATCCACGACCCATTTTCAATGCCCTGGCTGAGGGAAGGAGGTTCTCACCCAAGATTTGACGGTACATGGCCCCGTCCATCGTCCCTTTGATGCGGTGAAGTTGTCCTGTCCCCTTAGCAGAAAAACACCCCCACGCATAATGTTTCACCTCCATGTTTGACGGTGGGGACGGTATTCTTGGGGTCATATGCAGCATTCCTCCTCCTCCAAACACGGCAAGTTGAGTTGATGCCAAAGAGCTCCATTTTGATCTCATCTGACCACAACACTTTCAACCAGTTGTCCTCTGAATCATTCAGATGTTCATTGGCAAACTTCAGACGGACATGTATATGTGCTTTCTTGAGCAGGGGGACCTTGCGGGTGCTGCAGGATTTCAGTCCTTCACGGCATAGTGTGTTACCAATTGTTTTCCTGGTGACTATGGTCCCAGCTGCCTTGAGATCATTGACAAGATCCTCCCGTATAGTTCTGGTTGATTCCTCACGGTTCTCATGATCATTGCAACTCCACGAGGTGAGATCTTGCATGGAGCCCCAGGCTGAGGGAGATTGACAGATCTTTTGTGTTTCTTCCATTTGCGAATAATCGCACCAACTGTTGTCACCTTCTCACCAAGCTGCTTGGCAATTGTCTTGTAGCCCATTCCAGCCTTGTGTAGGTCTACAATCTTGTCCCTGACATCCTTGGAGAGCTATTTGATCTCGGCCATGGTGGAGAGTTTGGAATCTGATTGATTGATTTCTTCTGTGGACAGATGTCTTTTATACAGGTAACAAGCTGAGATTAGGAGCACTCCCTTTAAGAGTGTGCTCCTAATCTCAGCTCGTTACCTGTATAAAAGACACATGGGAGCCAGAAATCTTTCTGATTGAGAGGGGGTCAAATACGTATTTCCCTCATTAAAATGCAAATCAATTTATAACATTTTTGACATGCGTTTTTTCTGGATTTTATGTTGTTATTCTGTCTCTCACTGTTCAAATAAACCTACCATTATAATTATAGACTGATCATTTCTTTGTCAGTGGGCAAACGTACAAAATCAACAGGGGATCAAATACTTTTTTTCCCTCACTGTATAGATATGTCATTCAACCCGCCAATACCCTACATACCCAATTACTAAGGTTTGTCACGTTCACAGAACATGCCAATTCGTAACATTTACAAATGTTGTGGCTTTGCTCTCCAAAACATCGGTGTGCTGTACTAGTAACTAATTGGCGTGTTCTGTTACGTGACAAACCTTACTAATTGTCGGGTTGGGAAAGAATGAAGGTCATTATAAATGAGTGGGGTATCAATGAATGGATCATGCTGGATACGTACAGTGCCATAATTATGTACATGTGTATGTTGAACTTTGCTCGCCCCCCAAGTAGCTAACCGTGCTGATGGGAGGTGCGAGGAAGGATAACAAACTGAACACAAAAAGCAGTTATAAAGAAATCAGCAGCAGCCTCCCCATGCCACCACTATTTCCCATGTATAGCCACACACAGTATGTACATATGTGTAAGAAAGGTAATCCAGTCACTTCTGGAGTCACTTTAATAGCTCTTTCTCGTCCGACACTAGACGATATTTCTCGATAGTCTAAAGTTATGTGAAGCCTATAAAATGATCTGAAATTGTTTCATGAAATGTTCACGCTGTGATCTTGTCTATGCCTAATTAAGAACAAAACCAAAATTTATGAGAAAATGGTCGTGTTGGAACCTGGTTTAATTTTTTATTTGATGTAGGATCTTGCTGCCTGAAATTGCAATTCTGGAAATCTCTCTGATTCATAAAACGTGAGCGTGGGAGGACAAGTGAAGCCCAATCTCTAACTAGTAATGTCATAGGCATTGAAAAATCCGCATGCAGGAGAGTGCAT